CCCCAAGCCCTCTACAAACACCTTCCGCCTCGTGGCAGTCTTTGCTCCTATTTCACGTTCACCGCGCACGCCTGTCAGCCGTTTCATGTTTCACAGCGTAGTATATGAAACCCGTCACCATAAAGTTCCGCCAGGGGCGCCGCACCACCGCGAGGCAAACAAAGCGCTGTGGTCCGCTGCCGTAATTAATATCTGAAGGCCCGTCGCCCAGCGTCTCACTAACTCAGCGTACCAGGGCACCCCTCGGGTGTTACGGCCGGCGTTCAATGGCTCGCGGCCCCGCCGACGGGAGGTACGCCGGGGGTAATGGAGCAGGCGCACGGAACGGCGGCACCCGGAGGGCGGAGTGCTCGGCGGTGTGGCACAGACGACCTACCGGTCTGACACAGCTGACCTACCGGTCTGGCACAGCTGACCTAACTGTTTGATACAGCTGACCTTCTGGTCTGACACAGATGACCTACCGGTCAAGCACAGCTGATGTACCAGTCTGACACAGCTGACCTTCTGGTCTGACACAGCTGACCTACCGGCATGGCAAAGCTGACCCACCGGTCTGACGCAGCTGATGTACCGGTCTGACCCGGCTGACCTTCCGGTCTCACACAGCACCCTTTCTGGTCCGTCGTAGCTGATCACGGGTGAGAGAAGCTTCTGATTTACGGGATATGATTGGTAACAAAAACGGACAGTTTTGCGAGCCAATTAGTGACAAAATTGCGAAAATGGAAGCAAATCACAACAGACAAGACAGTGACACAACAGATCGTCTCAGTTAGACGAAACTCAAAGCTTAGTATTAGTCTGTACTCGCTAACGCTTGAAGAGTGAGCATGCGTAGAGCACATATCGAAACATTGACGTTTCGCTGCATGAGCCAAGCTGAGCCACAGTATGTTGCCAAACTAGAAGCTTTTATCAGGGTAGCTTTTGAAAGGTGACAGAAATATGGTACAAACTATACTATATCAGTCTAGACTCAAAGGTCATTGATGACACAGTGCTTTTACAATGCCCATCCGGGTCAGCGCTTTTCATAGATTTTTCAACGGCGATTTGCTTCGTATACTTGACTATATAAAATAACTATATCAAATAACTAGGCTTATATATCGCCCTAAAAATCGTGACTGGCCACAGCATCTTGCGACGAACGTGATCCGTTTGCTACGCGTCGTTTTAAAGCGTCGTACCATTTGAGACAGATGGGCTGAAATGGTTGCCATGCGATAATGCATTGGGTTCAGTGCAAGTCTGTGGGCTGCTGTTGGTTGTGTTCATGTCGTGAAAAGCTGAATGACTTAAAAAAGCTAGCCATTCGGTTTTTAGCTTCGGCTTCTCCAATGATCTTTCATGGAGGGCGTCCCTGGAAATAGAGTTTACAAAAAAAAACAGGTGATTTAGGAGGCTTGTTTCTTGTGGACACATGAACCGTAGCTCCAAACGTAAACAAAGGACGTTGGAGCGACACTTGTCAAGGATTTGCCCGGGGCTTTTTCTGCTGAGAGGAACAGAAGATATGAGGTGAGGTGCCAAACATCGCGAGTGTAGGTCCCTCACACCATCCGTCGCACATCACTAAGCGTTATGATCGGTGGACGGGCGTGAAATGAACCGCTTTTAATATCATCATATGGTATATTGAGTTAAGAAGAGGTCCAAGAAGCGTTGAAAAATGCCGTTGGCATTCGTTGATACCAATATTGCGTGGGGTTTGCACTAATTAATTTGGATCATGTTAGGGAGTGCGAATTCTGCGGGGGCAATCATTACGCGAAGAAAGCAAAGCTCACCACTGCTTCCAGCCGATGGTACGATGACGTCACAAAGCCAAAAGCAATCTTGTTTCCAGGTGGTTCCAGATCCATATTATCGGTAAGTGTACAGCTACAGGGGGGGGGGGGGGGGAGCAAAAACAAAAAAGACTGAGCCTGCCTCTGAAATGCACTTAATACAGTTTTCTCCCCATCTTTGTTGCACTTTCTTTTCAGAGTTGGGAGCAAGATTAAAGCCTCTCAAAATTGGTGCTAGGGCTGAACCCTAAAAATTATGATTAATGAAACCTAAAGATAAAATATGATTTTAAAAATCTAAAGAAAGGAAACTGCATCCCTGGTTAGGAGGCACAATCCCTCACCTACGACTGAAAAGAAACTACACCCCTCCAGGCTGGTTACGTCAAGTATACCTTTATCTGGTAATCTTATTTCTTAAGTCTCAACCATCATTCAGTGTGTCATGGCAAGCAAATAATACGTTAGTGCAAATTAACTCCCAAAACCAAGATGTTTGGTTGTTATACTGCATTGTATTTTGTTTGTTTTTTGTGCTGTATCGCATTGAGAGTCATTTTGGAACGGTTTCTGAAAGACTTGACTCCAGGTGACAATTCAGACGGCTCCAAATTTCGTCGGTGACAAAAAAGGCTTTTTTCACCGCTGCAGCTGATCTCCCTGCCTATCACAGCCGATGTGAGACAAGCGACATCGCGTCTGTCAGAGGTCGCTCTGTCATGTCACACATCTGAGCTGCTGTTTTGATACGGAAGACCCTATTCTCTGACAAAGCTGATCGGCCAGAGAGTCAGACGGCGGGACATCAGCTTGGTGATCTCTTGCCTCTTTCTTGCGCCATCTGACATATAAACAGTCTAATGGAATGGAATCAAATATGCTGTCTGACCAGCTCAAAACTCTGACAAACACAATGCCTGATGACATCCTATCTCTTCTAACCTGTTTTTGGCAATTCTAAAATATAATCATTGTCACACAACAGGCTACGACACATCCGTGTTATGACCTATATCCTCTCTTTGGCACACGCGCGCATGCATGCACGCAACGCAAGCACGCGAACACGCATGCATGCATGCATGCATGCATGCACGCACGCGCGCACGCACGCGCGCACGCACGCGCGCACGCACGCACGCACGCACGCACGCATGCACACACACACCACACACACACACACACACACACACACACACACACACACACACACACACACACACACACACACACACACACACACACACACACACACCAACACCACAGCACTACGTAATCGAATTTTGGCGCATATTGCTAACAACCTTTGGCCTCTGTCTCAAAATATTGAGATACCGTTTTTGCTCGGTTGCACTAAATTGTCTGATACAACTGACTTTCTAGTCTGGCACGGTTGATATCCTGGTTGAACGCAAACGATCTCCTGGTTGACAACGTCCTAGTTTCTAACAGATAGCAGCCTGGTTTGACACTGATAACCTCCTGTTCTGATACAATTGACGACTCTGGCGAAGCAAAAAACTCTGGTTGTCTTGTAAAGCTGGCTTCGTTATCTAACACAGGTCTAGGTGAACTATGGAATATCTTAGCCTGACACGCTTTATCTCCTGATCTAACACAGCTTAACTTCTAGACGGAAACAGCTCACCTCATCTTACCCATCACACATTATTAGCTTGGACAGTTTATCCTCCTGATACAACGCAGGTAACCTAGTCTGGCACAGCTGACTTCTTGGCCTGGTCCGACTAACATCCTGATCTGGCACGGCTCACGTCCTGGTCTGGCGCGGTTCATCTCCTGGTCTGGTACACGATGCAATCCACCTTCTGATCTGACGCAATACGTGCAACGGCAGGACCGTTCATCTGACTCACACGACCAGCCGGCTGGAAGGACAAACATCTGTTTTCCACCCCGAGACACGCTGACCTAGTTGATGCACGCTGATAATGCACCTCCGCTGAATTCTGGACCCCACGGCGGTACGCATATGGAAGCCCCAGTTTGAGGAAGCTCGACAAGCGCGGTCGGCACCAGCTGGTCACTTCCAAGGGCGGGTCATCTGCTGCGAGCTACGTCAGCCAGCGTGTACCTCCAGCCGAGGCGCATTGATCCGAGTGAGGTCAGAGTCGGAACAGGGCTGGCCTCTGGCGCGGGCGCCTGCCTGAAGAGACAGGGCCGTCTGTCGTGCGCCCGCCAACGGCACACCGCCGCGACCGGCCGCTCTCGTGCGCGCCGTCCGCAGCCCGTGGACTGCTCCGTTCTTGCTGAGATGATGGCGGCGTGGCCAGCCGGTGCTAGCCACAGCGCCGCGAGGAGGCACTGTCCGCGAGTGCTGGTGGGCTTCCCCTGCACCAGGGAATACAGCCACAGGGCGCCGAAGACGGCCCTGCGGCCGGTGTGCGACCTTCGTGCGGCTGGTGACCAGTGACGTCACCAGACCCGGTGATGTCATTGGTCCGTGAGGTCCATCGACACAGCGGGCCTCGCAGACCACCCACCTACCCCAACAGTGTGCAGGACTTCGCTGGCCCCCATCCGAGCCCTTCTGTCGTATCAGCCTGGTACCTGCTGTTGACCACACTGATTGTTTGAATTTGCATTGAACATCCCGCATCAACTCAAGAAGGGATTTCCCTTCGATGAAATACGTAACGACTACGGCTCATACCACATGCAGCTATTTCGGTCTCCTACTCGGTACCGCACGGTTTCTACGAAAAGCGTATTGTTCCGGCTTAGGTGGATCGATGACTTAATCCATCGATCGAGTTTAATTTCATAGAATTTGGTCGCAAGAGCGGAAATATATATTATTATAAATGCTGCTGTGCATGCTCATGAGACAAAAAGGACCTCAAAATGATAAATCTATCGTCAGCTGTTTTGTTAGTTGACTAGTTTTGTATATAACCACCATGCCTCTCCTCATCTCCACTCGCGCTTTGTGAGACATGCAACTATATTGGTTACATCACGCATCCGCTACATCATTGCTCACTCCAGATCAGACCCAACTCCACCCGA